ATGCGATCCTGGATGGCCCGTTGAGTGTCATACCTTACTATGATGATCATTACATTGATTTTGATCACATAGGGGGTGGTATCATATTGAGGTTGGAATTAAGGATGATGGAAGATTGAAGCCAAAATATTGTTCGCGTCAAGCTAGAATCAAGTCGACAATGAAGTCAAAAGAATCACGTCAACATGATGGTCAAGCAAAGGAGATAGACGAGAAAGATGACAAGGTGCACATTGACGATTTAGCCGAGAAGAAGCAATTAGTAAAGAATAATGATGTGGATATCTTAGGTGATCAAGCTCAAGGACAAGTCAATGTTCAACCAAGTAATCAAGTTCAAGCTCAAAGGGTTATTCAAGATCCATTAGCCAATATTGGAGGTCCTATGACGAGTTCTCGAAGGAAGAAAATGAATGAATCGCTTAATAATTTGTTCATGGATGTTCAAGCGTTCAATGTGTATCCAATTCCATGGGTTTCATATTTATCTTGGAGTGGAATTGAAACTTTTAGTGCATGTCAAGCTCTTGGTCGAGGTGAAGAAGTAACCACAAAAGTCAACAGAGGACCCTCGAGCAGAATGTTGGTCGACAAGGAAGTCGACGCCGCGGGCATAATTTTCCATCTTTCCTATTTCAATTAGGAAAAGGATTTTTTGGCCCTTTAATTAATATGGCCGATTCTCCTACACCTCTAGAAGGTTCTGGATAGTTTTAAATAATTGTGACATGTGCAATTTTTTAAATATTATTTAAATCTATATTAGAAAATTTAGGAAGACAAATCCAATTTGAACTTATATTCGGATTTATTTTTGTCCAAGACAACCTATGCCTATAAATAGGGGGTTGCGTGACTCAAATTCATATACTTTTGATAATTATTGATATTTCAATACGAGACGAGAGGAAACTCTTTGTTCTTTTTTCTATTCTTTTTGAAGATTAGTACATTGCACATTTGTTTGTGCTTTGATGACGCGTGTGCGTGATTTTAAAAGTTCTTCATGTGTGGACCTTTGTTAGTTTTTTCATTGGAGCCTTTTTGCTAGCCGTTTTATCTATCAATCGAAGGGATAGGGTTGTTAGAGAGGAATCGATTAGGTTACTAATCAAAACACAATTTTTCATCTTTCAAATCTTCCATTTTTTTTTGTTCAATTTTTGTGGTTTGCATCGTTCTTCTTCTTTCCTTCTTCTCTTTTTTGTGTGGTTTAGAATCTTTTCCATTGGTACCACAAGTTATCAAGTCTTGAGAAATTCATAGATTCTGCGTTTGAGGTAATTCCATCATCTTGCATCAAAATTCTTATCAGGTGGTCTTGAATCAGTATTGAAATAGTAGTGACAACAATACAATTAAAATTCTGCAGCCATTTTACACATCAACTATGCGCCCATAAAATATATTTAACTAATACACGGTTACAATTAAACTAAAATAAAATATCTAAGATCATATTCAATGAGCTCAGATATATTTTTCTACTGAATATCGCTTAGGCAGTCATCTCGGGTCACCGACGCATTGCGTGAAGAGAAATGGCTAATTATATTACACGGCTTTAAATACCATCAGCAGATATCAACCTGTTGGGAACTTAATATGAGTAACAATTCAATTATCGGACTATGTATATTAATATACATAAACAAAGCAATTTTTCCGATTACATAATCTATATTCTCTTATTGGTTCGATGTCAGCGTTTAGGAAAAGCTTTGCGCAATAGTTTTCCTTTTTACCTGGATACCAGGTAATAATCAATATATTAACAAATGGGACAACAAATACACATGAATCAAACTCTATCAACTTTCAAGGTATTACCATTGAATATCTTAACGACTCCATGTTGAAGGATAATTATAATACGACCCTAAAGATCACCGGCCATGTAAATAGAAACTTCTTAGCATATTTGTTCCATAGTGACTTGCAAACCGTTTTACCAACAATTGACTTGGAGATTGCAGCTTGATAAACACACGACGGTTGATATGTTGAAAATAAGAGATATAGCAAATTGAATTGAAACAATTTGAAGTAAAAGATACACTTTCCTTTGATTTAAAGTGTCAAACTTCAAATTGCACTTTGCAGAATATATATTTTTTTGGAAAATTTAGTTTGTAAAATAAAATAATTAATTTAGAATTTAAGGATAATAATTAAGTTGGCAACCTTTCACGTGCATGGTGTTTATTTCTTACAAGTCAAGGGTTGTGTACTTAAATTGTGTCCTTTTATCTATGCAATTGTTGCCTGTAAATAGGTGAACTAGTGCAGGAGTTCATTTTAACTTTTGCATTCCAAAATTCTGAAAAACATTCAATAAGTTGCAAATTGCATGTTCTTGTGTTCTTAAGTCCTAAAGACAAATTGTCATTCAAACCCTGTTTGCAATTCAGTGGGTACAAATACTGTCTTAAGAACAGTGTTTGACACGCTTAGAACACTTTCAATTCGTTGTGAATTATCTTTAGTGGTTAAATTTCAGATTTCATCAATAAAATTTATTTTCTCCATTTTTTTTGTTTGGTTCACTTTGTGTTATTTCCTTTGTTATAACCCGCTGGTTTCTTTCATATTTTGCTTGCGGAAGCACCTTCGTAAAAAAATGTATGTCACTTCTTAATATCACATGTCTTCGAATCAATTTATTCAATAACATCAAAACCTTTCATAGCTTTTCACTACAAGAAAAAGGAGTTTTTATGACATCAAAGAATACCTCCATATTTGCTCCATTCACTCTCCTTAATAGCTCCAAAGTAAGTGAAATCTTTTGCCAACATCATACTTCTGGCATTTTCTACAACAATGGGTCTTTCCTTTTAGCTACGCCGTTTGACTCTGACATATAAGATGCTATAAATTTCTTAGAAATTCCATTCTCCTCACAAAAAGCTTTAAAATTATTTGAGATAACACAAGTTTTGCAAACAAACCAAGCTTTTCAAGTTTTGGAAATCCGAAAGCGTTTGATTTTTGAAATCATTCAAATTCACATAACGTAAATGTCCCAATTGCAATTTAGTTTCATTATCACTACTAGCAACCATAAAATTATTTTTAAACACTGAAGCCTCTAATGGAACCATTTTATCACTAGCCACTTGAACATTCCTGAACTATTGCCCTTAATTGTGCAAAATCCATCATCAAACAAAAGTGAATATCCACTGGCCATTAAGTGATGAACCCTAAGAAAGTTATGAGAAAGACTAGGAACAAACATCACATCCTTCAGAAAAACGAGTGTTACCGTGATTGGTTTTGAGGTTAACTGCACCAACTTTCCTCTTGAAATTTCTTGTTGTCTCCTAAAGTCACCTCTCATTTCTTAGACTCGTAAACCTCCTTAAATAGTGGTCGTGTACCACACATATGATTGGAATAGCCACTGTCCAAATATAAAACATCTTTAGCCATTTATTTTTCACATGAAAGAGCCATGTCTGAGTTTTAAAGGAAACTAGCTTGATTATTGCTCTCATCCTATCCATTGCCAACAAAAAAAACTTCCTTACGACCAATTTTCTAGCAATAGTGACATTGAAGGGGCATGTATTAACTATCTGGATTCGAACCTCCCATGCATCTTCCTCTTCCTTGACTTCTTACATTTCCCTTTCCTCTAAATTCACCTCGTCCACGATAATGTCCAGCCGAGGATTCATATGGCTCCCCCTTAACCTGAAAGGCTTTCTCCTCACCCTTCTCATCTAATCTAACGATCCTTTCTTCATGAGATGAACTCATCAGTTTATCAAATGAATAATCAGATAAATCATGGGCTTCCTCGATTGCAATGACTGCATGCTCAAATATAGGAATAGGACTCCTTAAAACTTTTGCAACAATGATTTCTTTAGGACTTCATTTGATTAACAAGAGAAGAGACTCTCGGAAAATAAGTTTGAACATTTTCATTGTTCTTCATTGACAAGGTTTTTTAATAATTAAATAATATTTTCTTATTTTTTATTTATAGATCTTTTTTCTTTTATAGATTGTGTTCCGAAATACCTTTGGTGTGGCTTGGGTTGAGGTCGTCGTGACGGAATTCAAGATAAATGGTGAAAATGGACCAAAATAGTTTCAAAATATAATGTAAAAACTCATTTCATATATATATTTAAGGGGATCAAAATTTAAATTCAGTCAAATATAAGAGGTTATTTATCCAGTTTAGTCCTTCCAACAAATGGGGTATTTAAAAATGACAAATTCCCTTCAACTTACAATTAAAGAAGAAATCAATATAGTAATATCAACTCCAACGTGAAAATAAGAAATTTGCAACTGTTGTCTCCATTTCCTTTTAATGTGTGAAGATCTTCCGAAGTAAATCACTGGGTTTTTAGTTTTTCAACAATTGTTTGTTAGCGACAACATTTTTCTGTGATGATGTCTTATAATTCAAGAAGCACATTCATATTCTGAGACCGGAAAAGTACCAGTTTCATTTTTGGGGGATGAAATTTGAATCTTTTGGAATGATGCCAAAAAAACAAATAAATTGGTGATCAAATTACTTCTGAATGGAGGAATAACAAGAACAAGAAAAATAATTGTAGCGATTCTATTTCTACTTTCTCGCATATCTGGCTCGCAAATGACTAAATAAGAAGGCACAAATGACTTTTGTAACAACCATTTGAGGTTGCAAATCAAAGGACACCTTCGATTTTCAGATATTCATTTAGCAGCTTTGGTGTTATCATTCTTTATAGATACGTAGCAATCCAAATTGGAAAAAGAAAAAAGGGAAAAAAAAAAAAAGGAAGAAATAATATAAAAAAAAAAACATTAACTGTGTTTATAAGAATAGAAAATATACATTAGCAAATAGCAATATTGTGTGCTTAAGACTTATACCGCGTGAAATGGGTAGTCCTTGGTGTACTCTGTATAGTTGTATTCTTGTTTACAAAATTTTTAGCTGTTCATAGAGTGGATCTGGGCAAATATAAAACATTTAAGTGGATGCAAGTTCTTTATCTTCAAAACAGAATAATACCATTTCACTTGAGAAGAGACTTTCAATGACAGCAACACCAATTTGCCTTTACATCTAAGTTTGAAAACGACACCATACCAAGCATGTAATAGAAAACACCAAAGCATACACCAATAAGTCATTTCTTAAACTACAAATAAATGCTAAAGAAAAACAAAGAAGGGCAAATAAAACAGTACATAACACAGCATATACTCAACCTTGTCTAACCCCCACTAGTCAACAATATTAAGGATTAGGTAGATACAAAAACTAGGCAATTTTTGGTATCCACCAGAAGGCAGAATTGAAAAGGAAAACAATATGATAAACCAGGGTGAGCCAGGTGCTCCCTATCTGAAAGTCATGTAAGCTTATGCATGCATATCCTCCTCTTCCTCCTCATCGTCATATTCACCTTCATCATCTGCAGTAGCATCCTGGTATTGCTGATACTCTGAAACCAGGTCGTTCATGTTGCTCTCAGCTTCAGTGAACTCCATTTCATCCATACCTTCACCAGTGTACCAATGCAAGAAAGCTTTCCTCCTAAACATAGCAGTGAATTGCTCACTGACTCTCCTGAACATTTCTTGGATGGAAGTGGAGTTACCAATGAAGGTGGACGCCATTGAAAGTCCTCTAGGTGGGATGTCACAAACACTGGACTTGACATTGTTTGGAATCCATTCAACAAAGTAGGATGAGTTCTTGTTCTGGACGTTGATCATTTGTTCATCAACTTCCTTAGTGCTCATCTTGCCCCTGAACATAGCTGATGCCGTCAAGTAACGTCCATGACGGGGATCCGCAGCACACATCATGTTCTTGGCATCCCACATTTGCTGGGTAAGCTCTGGCACTGTAAGAGCACGGTACTGCTGAGAACCACGGGAAGTCAAAGGAGCAAAACCAACCATGAAAAAGTGTAAACGGGGGAATGGGATCAAGTTGACAGCAAGCTTCCTTAGATCAGAGTTCAGTTGACCAGGGAAACGGAGGCAGCAAGTCACACCACTCATGGTTGCAGAAATCAAGTGATTCAAGTCACCAACTGAAATACAACAGGACAAAAAGTTATTTGTCAAAAGAAATTCATAACATAAAGAAGAAGGATATCAGTTAGGAACAATCCAAGTAACTTCCACCCATCAGTTCACTTGATTCACAGTGAGCATTACCAAAAATTGGCAAAACTATTTTAATAGACATGTAGACAACCAATCACATGGAAATAAAACTTTCAAATCAGTAGTCCATTTGAATATACAAAAATATTAATTAAGAGTACTCAAACAGATTGAGACCAATCAGTAATTAGAATGACATGGTACCAAAGAATGCAAGGGATGGCCCTACATGATCCATTAGCAACTTCATATGAGCAAATACACCTTATGGATCCATATGAAAATACTGACCCAAATAGCATGGCCACACTAATAGGGAATTTGTTGGATCCATATGAAAATAATGACCCAAATAGCATGGCCACACTAATAGGGAATTCCTAACAAACCAAAACATTCAACACAAGGATCCATAAGGAAATTGCAACCTAAACATGTTCCAGAGGAGATTATATGGTACAGGATATTCAACATAAATGCATCAATATGGGTCCCTTTCTCAAGGAAAAACTGCAGTACCAGATTGAACTTTAACTGTGTATGAAAAAAATACTCACAGCTTGGGGTGGTAAGCTTCAGAGTTCTGAAGCAAATATCATACAAAGCTTCATTGTCAAGCACCATGCATTCATCTGCATTCTCAACAAGCTGATGCACTGAGAGTGTTGCATTATATGGCTCCACAACAGTGTCTGAAACCTTTGGGGATGGGAACACTGAGAATGTGAGCATCATTCTATCAGGGTACTCCTCCCTGATCTTAGAAATCAACAAGGTACCCATACCAGAACCAGTTCCTCCACCAAGTGAGTGGCACACTTGGAAACCTGCAATGTCACAAACTCATTAGCAATAGAACCAAATTCACCATATCAGATCCGTTCAAGAAATAGACTACGATCACAAGATGATTCATACTGCTGGTTAACTCTTTGTCTGACAAAATTACAAACAGATGATTGTACATACCTTGAAGACAGTCACAGTTTTCAGCTTCCTTCCTCACTACATCAAGAACAGAGTCAATAAGCTCAGCACCCTCAGTATAATGACCTTTGGCCCAGTTGTTTCCAGCACCAGATTGACCAAAGACAAAGTTATCAGGCCTGAAGATCTGCCCATAAGGACCAGTACGAACACTGTCCATGGTACCAGGCTCCAGATCCATTAGCACAGCACGAGGAACAAACCTCCCACAGGATGCCTCATTATAGTACACATTCACACGCTCCAATTGCAAATCTGAAGTACCCACATATCGTCCAGTTGGATCTATGCCATGCTCATCGCAGACAACTTCCCAAAACTTTGAACCAATCTGGTTACCGCACTGTCCTCCTTGAACATGAAGGATTTCTCTCATTTTTCCTGTAAGTCATTAACAACACCATCCACATGAGAAACATACTATACTAGTAAAAACAATAGCAACAAATAAAGAATGAAATCATGTCCAAAAGTTACTCAGATCCGCATTTATCCATAAGAAAATTCACAAAATTAACAGTAAATCGAAGTAAACACATTGATGCACAAGCTGATCACAGATCTGAACGAAGTTTGAGTGATTCGATTTTAACATCTAACACTAGTAGGCGATTCTAACGAAACTTAATCGAGTAGAAGAGATTCAGTGAAGCAGAGCACGAACAGTAATCAAGAAGATAAGCAATTTTTGAAAATGCGAATAAAAAATAATCCAAATCAAAGAAAATCAAGTTCAAATCCATTCAAGAAGCATCAAAAATTCAATGCAGAATCAAAACTCTCACAATCCACCAATAAGCAGAATGCAAAAGCAGCTAAATCATGAAAATGAAACTGTATCGAAAGAGTTTCTTCGTGGTAAGGATTTTCTTACCTAAGGATTCTTAAGGAACAATTCGAAATTAGGATCGAGCGAGAGAGATTTTCACCACTCGATCGAAGCGCAGAACCTCAGCTAAGTGAGAGAATGCGCAGAGATGAACCCTAGTGGTGGTTTTTATATAAAGTGGGAGATTAAATCGACGGCTGATAATGCTTCCCTCCTAATTTTTTTTGGCTAATCGTTTACCGTTGGATTTTATTAACCAACGGCATGGATTGAGTAGTGCACAGTGGTGGGAGGGATTTTGAAATTTTTTTAAAAACTGGAGCCTCTGGTTTAATGACCGAATTAGCCTTTTTTCAAATGACTAGACCATCCTTTGACCATTTGACCGTTGTTAAAATTTTGAATAACGAACCGTTTTGTGTGTTCCCGAGGTTCCAGGTATCGATCGGTTCATATTGCCAAAATCTTCGGGCATTCTTTTTCACACATGCAAATGGATTTTTAAAAAAAGAAGTGACCCATATCGTAATGGAAATTTCCTTATTCTTTTCACATCTTTAGTTTTACTATTACTCTTTTAAAAGAAGTGGAAATAGGAAAAACATTTTTTGAAGAATTTTATTTTAATACAATGAAGGCGATAATAAACCTTTTAATTAAAACACCTATAAGAATGAAGTACAAACGAGATCGCCATATTGTCAAGAAGTTATTTTTTGCATGACTAACAAATTTTAGTCCCTTTTAAAGTTACTAAATTAAGGAACACGTGGCATATGAGGTTATGCTGTCAATTTCTCCATTAACTTTAATGGAAAAAAAAAATGATGTAGTGCAAATCGATATAATTTTGGGACATGACGTGTTTAAGAGATTTTGTTAATTACTTATTATCCCTCTTGAATTAGAAAATCCTACAATTAAGCCCATTAGAAACTTAAAAGTTACAAATAAACCTATATGATATTCTTTTGGGAAAATTAACAAAGATCATAATTACTGCAAAGGGCATCAAAATTATTTATTCATATATGCCAGCATTTAATTGTTTTTAACCTTTGCTCTCGAAATGAAGACTTTACCCTTCAGTCAATTTGTCTGTTCGTGTTCGTTCCCTGTTAATTGAGCCTTTCAAATGCTTTGGTTCTACCTGTGAGAGTATGACGCCTAATATAAAAGAGTATGGTTTGTGCTTTATTTTTTCCTTGAAACTAAGAATCAACACCCACACCACTACAGCAGCGGTTGCTTAGTAATAAATTAAGCGATAATTTTCCTTGTAGATTAGGCAGACTGAGCCTTTTTCTTCTTTTAAAATGATCTGAAAGATCCTCACAATTTCGCGCGGTTCTTAAGGATGCTATCAAAAGCTTCATCTCTTTTATGACTCACTGCATCTACATGAACAAGGTTGAGTTATTTTGCATAAAATTTCTCTTGCAATTGGCAACCACAATTTTTTTATTAATTCAACCCATTAACATCTTCATCATCATATATAAAGTTTTTCGGAAGGGAGTAGAAAAGATTTAATGAATGATTGGATTAGCGACTTTTGAGTAGTAGAAAAAATCAAACAATTAAATTTTGAGTTATAGATTACCGATTTCTGAAATTGCTTGGGAAATGAATAAGGGAAAGAACAAATTTAGGAATTTGAACCTAGAAAGGAATGTTAAGATAGTCGTTTCAAAGAGAAAAAAAAATATTGATCTTTCTTATACCATGATTCTGATGCCGTTCACAATAATTTTGATCTTTCTTATATCATTAATCAAAATTTTCTCTTTAAACGGATTAATAGTAATTTCTCAATTATTTCGACGTGACTCGAACATATGGTCTACTGGAAACATGAGAGGAGTCTTACTACTAGATCATCTAGTCTAGATGGCACCTAATTACGAAACGGAAGTTGATATTTACATACTCTCGTTGCTTACGATTCCTATAATTTAACTCACATATTAAGCTAATAGAATTACAATAAAACATGCTACATATTCTAAAGGAAAAATGTTAAAATTTTATAATGAAATAAACTAAAAAAATTACAATAATGATTTTGTAACTTCTGCCATTGTTACTTCTTTTACAAATTTTATTCCTTTGAAATTTGCAAAATGAGAGAAATCCTTGTCATATCAAAGCTAAACGTTGCATCATTGGGTCTTTTCTTCCACATGAAAGAGGGTCTAATGTTGGTCAACTTGCGGATAAATACTAATAAGAGCATTGACAACACTTAAATTTAACCCCTTTAGCAAGCAATTCTTATTCTTTTTTACTTGTAAATTGGTGTCAATTAAGTAGAATTAATTTACTTTTAGGTTAATTTTACATTTAAGGGTGATCAGAGGGCCTAAGTAAAATTTGAAGAAATATTGAGCCAAAAAGTGGAAAAGAGCATTAAAAAGGACCAAAATGGAAGTTGCTAGAAATCAAGGCTGGAATTTATCGATTGGAATAAAACCAGAGACTAAATCCTTGCTGATAAAATAAGAATGGCTATAGCATCATCACAAGTTGGTGATCCTTGCAAGTGGAAGCCAAAGGGAGAAGAAGAAAATGCATTTTGTTGTTGTTTGCTGCTATTGATTCTGAACAATTGAAGAAGAAAAGAAGTTGAAATCATGTTGCTAAAGGAAGATTATTGATCCACCATCCCAATATGCTAATTCCTTGCAAGTGGAAGAAGAGAAAGAGGAAGAATATTTAGCTCAATCAGAGTTAACTTGCTGCTGTTTTGAAGAACAAGAGAGCAGGAATCAAGGAAGAGGTTGTTGATGTTGATGCTGGAAGCTGTTGCTGTTAATGGCTGATTTCAATAAAGATAGAAGGTGGAGCAGAAGATTGGGAGGCTAAATTGGAGGCTACAAAAGAAAGAAAGAGAGGGAACCAATTGATTAAGTGGAAGCATGCTTCTGAGGCTGATTTTCCTACTGCTGATTCTGTTGGTGGGTGAAGGATTAAAGAAATAAGAAAAGAGAAATTGGTGGCTGGAATCAAAAGGAGGCACCGGGGAAGAAGACTAAGAAGGAAGGCGGAATTATTTATTTAGTTACATTTTTCTTTCTCTAAAAATTTTTTGCTCTTCCTTCTCTCTAATTTTTTGTCCAAAACCTACCACTATGGCGGCCACTCGGCTGCGGGATGAAAAAAATGTCCAAATTTTGCCGAGATTCTAAATGGCTCGAAGCCAAATCCAAGAAAAGTGCTAAAAGGTGTTGCCAAATCAATCAATGAAGAATCAATCATCCGATCAAATCCAATTGTTTATAAGGGAGAGCCGACTTTTTTGTTAACTAAGGAAGAGGATGAAAAATTGGTTGAGCCCTTCAAGCTAGTGCTTATAGGAAAATGTTCCAAGGGAAGGCCAACGATGGAATAGTTGTGGTCTCAATTCCAAAAAATAGGTTTCAAAGGCGAATTCACATTGGGAATGCTTGATCATAGACACGTTCTAATCTGTTTCGATCAAGATGAAGACTTTCAAAGATGTTGGATCAAAGACATTCGATCATCATATAATGAGGGTCTTGAAGTGGACTCCGGAATTTAATCCGGAACACGAATCATCTATTGCTCCCGTATGGGTGGCGTTTGAAGGCTTGCTAATCCATAGATTCAACGATGATTATTTACGAAAATTGGCAGGTATAATAGGGACGCCGTTGAAAATCGATGTTCCAACCCTAAACATGTCATGCCCATCAATAGCAAGGGCTTGCGTCGAGGTCAACTTGCTGCACGATTTACCGAAATGAATACGGCTAGGTACTGCTGAAAATTCATATTTCCAATCTATTACTTATGAAAATCTGCCTGATTATTGTCTTGAGTGTCGGAAGATTGGCCATAATGCATCGGACTGCCGCCATGTTAAAGGAAAAAAGAGTCAGACAGAAGTGTGACGCAACAACCCTAAAGTGATGGATGCTCAACCTAAAAAAGTTTCTGTTGTGGACAAGGTGAAACTTAATGTACCAGTGAACAAAAAATGTCTGGAAACAAAAAGAGGATACTCAATCAAACGTTGAAGGAATGGATCAAGGAAAGAGAGCCTCGACTTCAGGCTTGTCTGATCAGGAGAAAATGAAAATTCCGATTGATTTGGAGCCTGCAATCCCTTTGTTACGATCAATTTCTTCTGCCAAACGACGGTTTTCAAAGGATCAATTGCTTTCAGCCATACAGAAGAACAACCAGAAGGGTAATTTTGTCTTTTAAGTAAAAATAATTTTTTAAGTAAAAATAATTTTGATTAAAATCATTTTTATTTAAAAGACAAAATTACCCTTTTAACAAGTCAACATTTGACCAGTTGACTGTTACAATTTTAACGGTTCTTGGACGAAAAAGTGAAAAAAGACAAAAATTCAACTTATGCTATTTAATAAAGATAATTTGAACTTGAGATATATAGTAAAGACGAAACCCCAACTTATGGTACTTTTGTGATAGTTAAGTAAACAAACTATCATAGAAAGAATAAAGATGATATGTATGATTTTGGTTAATAGTTTCTCCTCCTAAAATTTATTATGTCAACACGATACCGTTTAGAAAAAAAAAATCAAACTAAATACATGAAATGTCATATCCTACTAAAATAAGAGTTTTGAAATAGAAATTTTGATGATTTATTTCACTCTCATGCAACGTTTTCTCGCCCCCCCAAAAAAAGACGCCATTTATGTTTAAAGAAAAAAAAAGTTGAAACTCTGGGTAATATTACTGAAAAACTAAAAGGTAAAACATTCTACTTATTGAATGGCTCTAACATTAATACATATGCATACATTCTCTTTTTCAACCAATAATTGTACCAACACATAAACATTCGTCAAACTTTAGACCACAAACTTAATGTCAAATTCAAATTCCAAAGAACAACAATAAGATCATGACAAAGCAACGACATCTTAGCAAACTGATGCAAATTCAGTGTGATTTACTTCTCCTACTCTTCATGACATCAACAAATGAACTCCGACACATCAAGTCCATGCTTTGTCGTGAGTCATTGCAGCCGCTTTCTTCCTTTCCCAAAGGTTCGATTGTAGTTTTTCTTTTTGAATGACCTTGTATAATATCTTCTAGTGACAGGTGGTTGCAAGGGTTTCCCTAGTTTGTGGATCCAATAGCATCACTTTGCTTCGCTTTGTTTGTTAGATTAAAGCATTTTTCT